GCGGGAGGACGCGCGCGCAGCCTGCAGGCCGAGGCGCCGGGCCGTGTGGCCTCCGGGTCACCGCGCGGAGAGGGGAGCCAGGGAGACCCGAGGTGACCTCCGGTGTGCCGCACGCAGGCGGCGGGAGGTCGGGGCGTGGAAGGGCGGAGAGCAGGCCCTGGTGACCACGGGGAAGCCGCGCGGAGGCCCCAGGACAGCGGTGACACCGCAGGCCCCGGGTTGGCTCAGCCTGGGTAAGGAGGGTGCGGGCCGTGGAGCTAGGAAAGCCGAAGCTAAGATCTTCCCAGAAGTTTGGCAGGGAGAGGGAGAGAAAAGTAGGCCTGGAGCCCAAAGGGTAAGGAAGAGGGAAAAAGGGTGTTTGGTTTTGTTTTTAATTTGTTCCAGTTTGAGGGAGAGACCCAAGGAATGGTGCAACGTCCCAGAAAAGGAGAAGGGAAGGGGGAGAGAAGTGAAAGAGGGGACCGCTTGGTGCCAGAGCTAAAGGATTCGTAGAGATGAAAAGGTTTTGAAGTGAGGAAGCAGGCATGATCCGCCGACCAGCTGCCTGGATCATAAGCCAGGTAGGTGCACTGTCCTTGCAAACTGAAGTGTAATTGCTTCAAACCCTTACTGTTCTTAACACGGGAATCTCATCGTCCTTACCTGTACCTCCAGAGATTCATAGGGAACTTACAGTTCACCTGTCTCTAACCCCAGTATTTTTTTCCAAAAAAACAAAAAACCTCTTACTATGCTCTTTCAGGAAATCTATCACCATACCCTGGATATGACCCCATTTATGCTCCCTCAATATAGTGCACAGAGTGTGGAAACAAAAAAAAAAAATGTCCAGTGTTATGTGATTGTTAAATAAATTACTTTATTTGTAGCCATTAAAAACAGTGTTGAAAAAAAAAATTTTATGACATGGGAAATGTTAAAAAGTACATTATAAGGGCCGAGGGTGGCTACCCACTTGTGTAATCTCAGCACTCCGGAGGCTGAGGCAGGAGTACTGCTGCGAGTTTGAGGCCTACCTGGGCTACAAAGTGAATTCAAGGCCAGCCTGAACTACACAGTGAGACCCTGTCTCAAAAAAAGGAGGGAAAAAAAAAAAAAAAAACCAGCCTTAGCCATCCCCTGGCTCACAGCGGGAGCTGCCCTAGAGGAAAAAAGCATGTAAGTTTATATAATAGCAAGTTATATATACATTGTATCATGCATAAATTAAAAAGTGAAACTTTTATTTTCTTGTGACTTCAGTTACTTTGTTTTTTTAGGGGAAGAGAGGGCATTATTAGGGATTGAATCCAGCGCCTTCCCACTGAGCTATATACCCATCCTTTTGAAATTTCTAAAACAGTCTTACTGAATTGCCCGGGCTGGGCTCGATTGTGTGATCCTCCTGCCTTAGCTTCCTACGGGCAAGCGCCACCTTGTTTTCTCAAGCGAGGTTTTACTACATAGCCCAAGCTGGCCTCAAATTCATGATCCATCTGCCCTAGACTCCCAAATGTTAGGATTACAGGATTTATGTATTTTTTTTATAATACATTTATTTATCTCTTGGAACCAGGGAAATTATATATAT